ATAGAGTAGCAGCCTATTCGACAGGTATTTGGAAATAATTTTCAACAGATACTTCGGTTTTCTTTTGCATTCAAGAGCGCTCATTATGTATTGCAAATACGCAGAATTGAATGCATTTTTAACGTCAAACGTTACGACTGCGCAGTATTCTTTCGTACCATACATCCACCTCGTTCCTTCGATTCCTTGCTTGCCACATTTGTCACTTTTGTAATGTCGCATCGATGGGTGACCTGTGCTTACGAAAACCAAATTGGCGAGTTTTCCGAGCGTGTCAAGCATACAGAGAGGGCGGTAGCAGCTTGGTTCTCCAGCTCTCCATTCTTGCAGACAGCGGGTAAAGAGCTGTGAAAAGGGGCTCGCTATGTGTGTTATAGCCGTTTTTAGAGCCTTGTTGGGGATTCAATCTGGACCCGGAGTTTTGGTATTTCCAAATCCTTTGGCTGTATCTATCACTTCATCGTCGGTGACCGATGGTGCGTCTATTACCGTAGATATATTTGAGAATATATATGTCATCACTTTTTTGTACGCATCGCCCCATGGCTTCTCATCGGCATTTTCGCAGAGCTCTTTGAAACAGGATAGTTTGCTTCTTTTGATTGCTTTCTTGAGCTCACGGCGTTTCCTTTTAAAGCTATCGCGCAGGTTTTCGTATTCTGGTGAACTTCGTCTTCGCTGGCAGGAACGCCTGGCTTTGTTGCAATCAGTTCTCAGGCTGTCGATTGCACTATTCCACCAGTATGCAGGCTGTCTGTAAGCGTTAGCGCCTTGTTTTTTACTGCACATTGCGGCGTCACATGCCTTGCTGACATGCCTCACCAGTGTCGCCTGTCGCTCTGTATTTTCTACATTTTCGATGTTGTCATCTAGCATAAGTCGAAAGAGATTTTCGTCGAGCGTTTCTGCTTTTCATCCTTTTGTCTGTAATATCCTTGTGTGCGTGTATATTCCACTCCTGGATTTTCCGATCTCCATTATGATAGCTAGGTGGTCACTATGCTTCGTTAAAATCGCCTGCTACCACGTTATTCGTACCAGATCATCCAATATGCTCTCAAACACGCTTAGTGGGACACTCGGTGGTATATAGCAGCATAAAAGTTGATTCCACAGATCCTGGCTCGTATGAAGTAGGGATTTCCTAATAGTGGTTTTTCCTGGAAAGCTTTGCCTCCACATGCCCATATGGCAGCTTTGCTGGTGGTGTTTGAAGCCCATGTGGCGTTGTCTATGTTTTTGTACTGTTCGCACAGTATTGCTACATCCACCTTCTCTTTAAAGACGGTTTGTTTAAGCAGATGAGTGTTGTTGCGAGTGAATGGTCGTGTGTGCGAAGGAATTTATAATACATACACACAGAGCACTACTGCCGTGTGCTCTTCAAATTGCAAAACCCATTAAAGGGTCCATACACGACAGTCATGTGCGTTCAATCAGTATGTGTGCGCATGCGGCTTACTCGTGTATGGGCTTGTGCGCGTACCGATCCATGTTCGCAAAAATGTCTGATTTTTTAAGTTCGTTGTGCGCACATGTGTGTCGTGTATGGCGCGGTGTGCCCACAAAATCTCATTTCTCTCGAGTTGCCGAACAATGGCAAGTGTTAAGGGGGGATCCTGCTTTAAAGGCGCAAAAAAATATATTTTTTTTGCATAAATCTTTTTAAAAATTATCTAACAATATTTCCCCAGAGTTATAGATTGGAATTCGAAATATTGTCGAAGCTAGATGGGATGATTATTCTGGCTGAAATGAAAAAGCACTTCTACTTGGATCACCCGTTATAAAGAAATCTTATGTTTTATTATGAGTAAGAATCTAAATCACTTATGAATCTAAGTCGAATTATTCGTTGTAATCTTAAAACAGAATAGCTTTGAATCTGCTAAATACAAACATTTCCAACGACAGTCGGTTATACAGCGTTCTGGCGCGATTTTTGTCTTTTATTCGGCAAATTACTGTCAACTTTGCAGTGTTTTTTTCTATTTTATCAAATATCTTTAATCGACTGATACTTGGGAATCAGAAAGAATGGCTTCTACTCTTTTAACATTCGTTAATAAAGTTTCAAAAATTTGCTCGCACTTACCCACATGAATTTCTCCTGACGTTTCCCACCATTTCTATGATATACCACAGCGATGAATTATTTCTGTACTCTCCTTCAAAGGCTGCCCATGAAAAAGAATCGACTCTAAAATCATTAAAAATATATTTAAATCCAACGTATCCAGACATTTTATCTAAAAGCGTTCGAATCGGCACTTGGTATGTGTTGGACTCAATAAATATTTATGTATTTTTATACGCAAAGAAATAATTCTGGAGTCTAACTCTGCACCACTTTTATTTGAAAAAATAAATCCTCTAAAACAGTTCAGTTCAGTTCAGTCAACCATAGTTTTATATATAATTCTCAAGTATCCCCATAATTGTTCCAGAATGCAAACATTTTTAACGCATTATCAACCCAAATCAGCCTGGGGTTGCCATATGGCAACGGGCGATAGTCTTGCTTAATATGCCCAAAATTCCAAAGAATGCATTTACCGTTATCTGTTAGCACGTGGCTGTTGCGTAATTGATCGCGCTTTCGGCAGCGTTCATTTGCTCGTCAGTTATATTTTTGATTCGTGGTCGTGAGCACGGTAGAGGAGGAGTAGAGTCACTATCAGCTGATGTTATGTAAACAAAGCCACAGCTGAGAGGTGTCACTGTAGAAACGTCAAGGGGAGTCCGGGGTTGAGTTTCTATTGGAATCCAAGATGGCCKACTTTTAACCGGAAAATGGTTGCATTGTGTTATTTTCTAAAAAATAATGGAAAATTTGTCCCAAAAATATTGGTTATATATAAAACTGTAATATATTTTCAAAAGAAAACATTTTTATTTTAATATATATTTTTAAAGATGAGAACAATATGAGCAAATACATGAAAAATTAAGTGTTTTATTTACGCCTCGTTTTAATTGTGGTAAGTTCACCACAGAAAAATGTTATGAACAACTAAGCAACCATGCCGAATGGTGGGGTTCAGAATATGCTCATTCACAGCCATAATCATAACGCAGGTTTTTGCAAGACAATTTGTTTTAATTTATTTCATGGAACAATCCTGTACTATGATTTATTTATTTATTTGGATCTGGAAGAAGTGTTTGGAAATTTCCACTGGAAAGATAAATAACAAATCGACTGGGATTTTATTCCAATGAAAGTACGAAAAAACTAAACATGGCTTCGTCAATATTGCTGCGTAATGGGTCAGGTGCTGTTCGAATTTTATGATTTAAAGATGAAAAAGCGACACGCGATGCTGTGAAGTACTCAAATGTAGTTATCAACTTAGTTGGTCGTGAATTCGAGACAAAATTTTAAATTCCATGACGTTCTCGTGGAAGGTGCACGTCGCATTGCTAGGTAAGCTAAAATTAAACTTTATTTGAAAAGATTTACCATGTATTTTTTAATTTTTTTTAATAGAATCAGCAAAGAAGCTGATATACAACATTTGATTATTTGTCTGCCTTAAACGTTAGTCCCAAACCAATGAACTTTGTGCTTGAGGGGGAAGTAACTTCTTGAAGAGCAAATACTATGGTGAATGTGCTGTTCGGATGTTGAACAAGCTATTGTCAATTGCGCTAAGGATCCTGATCAAGCTGTTGGGTAGGTTTTGAGCAAAATTGAATTTACATACTTTCTAATATGCTAAACACTCAATATCCACCTTGCAGACCAAAGCGTTACCAGTTGAGCGAATTAATTGGAACCAGTCAAGTTATGCGCAAAGATGAAAAATGGTGGGATACCGTCGTTAAGACATACGTTGCGATCCTACCTTCATATTGAAAGTCAAGTTCACTGAGCTTTTCTGTCCTGGACAACTTATTGGTGAGCTAGATATTGGTGAGGAACGTATCGGTCGCGAATGTATTACCGATGTCATTTGGGTGTACAATTGACCTCCATGGAAGAGCAAGTACCATGGGAATTGCGACCATATCGTGCTGCGAATTACAATTCGTCTTTACATCTAGTGAATTACGGTCGATTATGAACGATTTGGAAATTGATAATTAAACTTTAAAAAACAAAAAAATATAATCTGGTTAATAATGAACCGCTATTAAAAATTAAGTAATTTGAGCTGTATTTTTATTTTGGCCAAACAAGTTATTATCGATTAGGATAATTTCAAATGGAGTATATTTCGAACAATCATTTTTTTTTTTCAAATATTTATGCGAGTATTACTATTGAGCATGGCAAAATAGTGTTGCGTAAGCGAATTTAAACTACTTTTTACTACTATAGAGATATTGCAAATTCAAAAAATAATTCGTTTCATAATCCTTTTTATTTAAAAACTTAGCTTAGAACTAAAAAATAATATGGTAAATCTGTTAGGATGGTCAAACACTCCATTTGGGAACGTGTATGATTCCTGATCGCCGGTGTATAGCTAAATTCTGACACACAAAATGTGTATGTAGTTTGTGATTACAAAAATTAATACTTAAAATATAAGAAATATGGCTATTATAATTATCTCTTTATTTATCTTACAATAAAAATTGTGTTTTACTGTTCAGACTAATTATTATGATATGTAATACCAAATTTTTCGACAATAGTTATCTTTTGGTCTACTTATTATCAAAAATAATTTCCAATTCGTTCATGAATAAGTTAACTAAAACGCTTAAAAATATATAGCGTATTAATGTATATCAAGAAGATATAATTAAATCTTTTGATAACAGCATTAAATTTCATTCTATAAGCAAAATTTAAAATAGTATTTATTAATGTATAAATATAGTACGGTAAATTTAAAATTAAAGCATTTTTGCTTTACGCAACCCGTTTTAACCTTTCGCCAACCTTATTCACCAGAGGTGGCCATGACGTTTTTATTGTGAACGTACACTTGGGGGTAGGTTAATGACTGTTACTACGGTGAATGGGACTTTCCCTACTAACTTGTACCATGGTCGTGAGTGCATTGCAAAGTGTATACAAAATGTGGAGTGGGGAAAAACGTGAAATGAAAAAGTAAGTATATCTAAGATATCGAAGATTCGCGCGGTCGGGCTATGATAGTTGTGTTTTTGTGTATTGATTGGAATATAAAATAACTCTCAATGATTTTTTTCTAAAAAAATTATATTTAAATGCGTTTTTTTTTTTGCAATTTTCTGTGCATGTGTCCATATGGCTACGCCAGGCAGGTTAAGCCACTGATATTTCTAACGTTGCAAGAGCTTTGGATTTTTTAGAGGAATTGTGTTCTGATGATGAAAAAGATGTTCCTAGTAATATCCAGGCACTCTACATCGAGCCACCTTATTAGGATTGGAATGTAAGTCGGGAAGATGATGGCGAGGATGAAGGTGGAGTTCCGGACAATGTATGCCCAGCACAACTGAAAGCCGGATGTGAAATTGTAATTGAAAATAGTACGCGAATGAAAAATAACGATTGTAATCTAGAGGATGTCGATGACGAGGAACCTTATGACGATACTTTAGACGATTGTTTGCCAAGCTCGTCCAAGAAAATTAGTCGCCCAATTCAATCAAATACTGGAGTACCACTTCCACCAGCTAACAAAGACAGCAAATATACTTGGCAAACCGCTAATTTATTACCAGTCCTTCCCATATTCCCTGAAACAAATTTCGAAGATGGTCTTCAATGCTATGCGAAGGAACCGCTTTGAGGAAATCAACTATATGCTGCACTTCGAGTCTGCATTGCACGAACCGTCTGCTAGTTCTGATAGGTTTGACACTCTTTGGAAATTACGCCCACTGACTGACCATATAAAGAGCAAATGGGTAGATAACTCGGTAGTCTGCCTTGCATCGACATGTAGCGTAGGAAAATATCAGTTCCGTCCGTGCATTGTAACTCAATACAACAAATTTATATCGGGTGTGGATCGATTTGACCAAAATGTTGCAAAAGCAAAAACTTTAGAGGAAACAAATGAAGGTATTCCATTTTTATTTGGCTTATTGGTGCAAGCTTGCAAAGCAGCTGGCTTCTTTATAGATCCGCTAATGAAAATAAGTCATTTAAAGATTTTAAGAGAGAAGTAGCCATTTACTACTGCAAGCACTACGGGGTCGAACTGAAAAAGTTCCAAAAAACCTCAAATAAACGAACTGAATCCGTAACGAATGTCCTGCGCTTTGACAGGATTGATCACCTTGTGGTTCCAATTGGAAATAAGAGGCGATGTGCTTGGACTTTGTTTGCCTTGCTTCGAAGCATATCATACAAAAATGTGAAAAACCAGGAGTTTTTATTAAAATTTTGTATCATCTCAATGATATTTAATAAAATGAATTCATTATTTTTGATTTTTTAATGATATATAATAAAGTGAATTGAAAATTTTTGTTTTGAAGTTTGATTTTTG